GGAGAAGCAGAAGCTTAGGAAGCAGCTCAATCGTATGTAAATTAAGGAGATGCAGAAGGAGTCCAAAAGAGTCTTTTTGTTTTGTGCACATTTTTGGTGTAGGGTTGATCCATTAATTGGTGTTCAATTCTAGTTGAAACAGTAGAGAAAGCACCTGACTCATCTGGACATCTGGGTTCGAGTCCCAGCTGTCACAAACATCTAAGAAAGGGACTATTATTTGTAGGGCAATGGGGATACACCAAAAAAAAAAAAAAGAAAAAAAAGAAAAACACTCCGGGCACCAAAGAGTGTACATTCCGCTGGGGTCTGATAAAACCTGCAAACAAATAAAACAAGATTATCTGAACAGGGAGAGAGAACAATCAGCCAGAGGAGGAAAGGATTTGAGAAGGGGCAACAAATCTGAGCCTGGAAGGAAGCTAATGACACCAAAAGGCAGAGGTGACAAAAGCTTTTTCTGGGCATTCCAGGCCTAGGAGACACCTGTGCAAAAGCGTCGAGCTGGAAAACGATCACCTTGTGACAATATGCAAGTCTGCCTCTCTGGCCTCAACTGGTAATCTGTAAAATGGGGGTGTTAACTTGTGATTTCTGTCTGAAAAGTGTTTTGTAAACCTTAAAGCTCTATATCAAGGTGAGCTGTGATTATTATAAACTACTGAATATTCACTCTGAACACAGTTCACGGGTACTAGACAACTGGCTGCAGAGGCCTGAACCTGATGATCCAATATTGGCACAGAGAATGAACTAAAGGCCCCAAGAGAGCCAGGTAAAATGTCCCAGCCAAAGGAAATGTTTAAGAAAATAAAAACACAATGCAACATAGATAACGTTAATCTGTGGTTTTCTAAGTGTCGGTGTGAGCTTCAGGGATCTGTTTTCACTTGTGTTTGATAGCATTAATTCATTTGATCCCCACAAGAACCCTGGGAGGTAAGGTGGCATTATTGTCATCCCCATTTTTACAGAGGAAGAAACTGAAGCAGAGGTTAAGTGACTTGCCCCGGGGTCATACAGCTAGTAAATTCCTTTAAGGCAAGATTTTTTTTTTTGGCGGGGGAGCTAGGCAATGGGGTTAAGTAACTTGCCCAGGGTCACACAGCTAGTGTTATGTGTCTGAGGCTGGATTTGAACTCAGGTCCTCCTGAATCCAGGCCTGGTGCTCTAAGTACTGTGGCACCCCCTAGCCAGCTGCCCAACTAACTTCTCAGAGAAGCTCCTTCCATCTGTGCAGGAAGGGCTGAATCTTCAAGGCCCCCTTATATAAGCAGGAGGGAAATTCACACTTTGTTCTCTATGACCACTTCTCTTTCCGAAGCTACCAATCAGTCATCACTGTCATTGTCATTCTCATTTAACTGACTGACTCTTTGGTGGATCAAGCAGTTTTAAAAAGATTAATCAGGGGGCAGCTAGGTGGTGTAGTAGATAGAACAGCAGCCCTGAAGTCAGGAGGACCTCAGTTCAAATCCAGCCTCAGATCAAACACTTGCCACTTACTAGTTGTGTGACCCTGGGCAAATCACTTAACCCCAATCGCCTTTAAAAAAAATTTAAGAAAAAAAAGATTAATCATCTAAGAAAGTCTTAGAAAGACTTCCACTTAACACAACTTTCAAAACAGAAGTTATGAAAAAGCCATAAACTAAAGAATTCTGACTGAACTTGTTAAGCACAGCTTCATACTGTTCATGTACAGATTTCAAAGTGTATTGGTACACAATTCACCAGGCAGATTTAAAAAATAACTGTGGGGAAGCCTATTAGTAGTTAACACATTAGTATTAATCATTACCTTTAAGTACACTTGGTCATGTGAACAACATAAATTTTTATACCTCACTAAGACAAAGACAAACTAAAAAACTGTTCAAACTTGAGACTTAACCAGACAACTTATCAGCATGCTTATAACCAAAAGAAAGCAGTTTGCATTCCTTTACATTCAAATACTCCAAGGGTTCATGAAGCACCTCTACCTTTCCATAATCTCATAAGAATTAAGAAAAAAAAACTTCCTCCAGATTTAAATTCAAAGGAATTAAAAAGGCTATCAGGTTTTTTTTGCCAAATGTTCCTATTCACAAAAAATATCTCTCCATTCCACTTTGTTCCTAATTTCACATTATATCTAAAGTACATTTCCTTAACCAAGTTGCTATCTTTCAAATGTAACCATCAGAGCTGATAAATTCCAGAGTCACATTCCACACTGAAGACTTCAAAAGAAAACAGAAAAAGTTGTTCGTGTTTTTTAAACTACAACAGCTTCAATTTAGAAGACTCCGAACTATTTCACGGTCATCAGTCAATCAACAGCACTTACTAAGCATCTTCAGTGGATAAGGGACTGTTCTCTATGGTCCAGTGAATTATTACAAATGAAAGTCTTATCTGGTAACTTCCTTTGGACAGCTTATATCACTCCTGTAAGAGAAACAAAATGAAGTCACCTCCAAACTTTTTTTGTCCTGTCACCACATGAGCCAGCAGTCTACCAGGAACCAGAATCCTGGTCTGGGATTCTTTCCACTTAATAAAGCAGGATTTCATCTACTATGCCTATTTAACAAATCCTATAAATAGCCTGCCCTCCACTAGTATGGCTAATGGGGATTATAATAGCAACTGCTGGGTTTTAAACATTCCTACTGCATATCATGTAAAGGAGTGTATAGACTGCTGGCCTGGGAGGCCTCAAACTTCAGTTCAAACACCCCCTCTCCCTGTCAGCAGTGGGACTGCTACAGCCTCACACAACTCTCTAAGACTATAAAAGCTATAAACAGATTGCAGTCTGCTTTGGTGGAGGAAGTTCACACACCAACAAAACCACAGGTCCTGGCAAAGTTGCCCATGTAAGGGATGAGCATATCCAGGGTGGGGAGGAAGAGGGAAGCTAGCCAGAGAGGGTCTGCCGTCCCTATGAGCACATACACATAAACTCTCCGATCCCGCTGAGGAACAGCAGCAAATGACACCATTAATAGATATGGAAATCACAGAATGAAGATCAGTTTGAGGAAAACCTGCTATACATCTAATTACTAACCAAAAATTCAAAGGATCGTAAGGGAATAGACCAGAGGATCAATGAAAATCCAAAGCACATTTAACTGTTTGACTAGTCTCCAAACCTCTGAAGCTCAATTATTCACTCACAGCAACACTACACAAAAACAATCCAGGAAAAGTGAAAGGGGAAAAAAATCACAACAAATGGCAAAGGTTAAGAAGATCAAATGAAAATAGATGCAATGTATTCTGTAAACCTGAAAGTGTTATATAAATGTAAGCTTTTATCATTCTTATAAAATTCTAAACTTAAACTGTTGGAGGCCAGAATTTATCTAGGAATAAATTTCCTATCTCTAAAGCTGTTGTTTTCCTATGTCAAAAATATTTTTTAACTGGACCGGTGATTTTATTTGTGAAGGAATCCTCCCCTCTCAAAAAAAAGGAAACTCCCTTCACTAATGTAGGTCATCAACGGGATCACAATCAAAGCACTGCCCAAGGCACAGAGAAGTTAAGAATTCGGATCCAGGTTTTCCAGACTCCAAGCCTGGTCAAAACATCCAGCTACCTCTCACACCCTTATTACATTTTTAAAATGGTCCTAACCCTGAAGCCCAATAGAAAGAGGAGAGCAGGTGATTAAACACCTACATTCATCCAAAATGCTGTCTTCTACCTATCAACTTGCTCCAACAAATTCTAACATCCCTATTAGCTATGCCTCCTGTAAACAATAATTAGTTAAAACAAACTAACATGCATGCCCATGTCTGCATCATGACCTCTACAGGAAAGAGGAAAATTCTCAGTATTGACTAATTTAATTGGCCCTAATTTAATCACACCAAATAATTCTCTGCCTACCCATCATGAAGTTACCATTAGAGAACTAAAACCAAATCCGGAAATCAGAAAGATAGGCCACCCTATGATTTATAAGGGATTCACCACCAACTTCAAAGGCTAACCCCACTTGGGTTATATTTTCAAAGGCAGCACAAACTTCTCATGCTTTTGTGTTGCATACTAACAGACCTTAAAAATGATACTACCAATTCACCCAAGAGCGAAATGCACATCGGCTGCTGGGCTGAGTAATAGTTAGAAAGACAACAAGTCTTTCACGTCCTGCCTTAAGCGCTTGCTGCGGGTCCCCAGGTAAAGGCCCCTAACCCTGAGGGGCTCAGTTTCCACATCAGTAAAAGCTAGGATAACAACAGCATGCTAAGCAAAAGCCCCTAACCGCTCTCTGTCTCAGTTTCCACTTCTGTAAAAGCTAGGATGGCAGCAGCAGGCAGGGCAAAAGCCCCTAACCGCTCTCTGCCTCAGTTTCCAGGTCTGTAAAAGCTAGGACAGTAACAGCACGCAGGGCAAAAACCCCTCACTGCTCTCTGCCTCAGTTTCCACCTCCCCCACAGCTGCTGCGGGGGAGAACTGGGTGGATTTTAAAGCGCTTCCCCGATGGGGGGTCACCAGCGCTGTTGTTGTTGTTATTGTTATCCGGCCCCCGAAAGACACACCGGGGAAGCAGTGGACCGAAGCCCCCGGCTCGCTGGCGGAGCCTCCCGCACCGACGGATACAAAGTAGCGGCACCGAAGAATACAAAGTAGCCGGCCGCGCGGCGTTTAAGAGACTTCCCCGAGCTGTCACCGGGGGAGGGGGCGTGGAGAAGGCTGACGAGCCCCCAGCGCGCGCCCCGCCGAGCCGCTCCGAGCGCGCCTCCGGCCACACAAAAGGCCGGAGCGACGCGGCCGCCCAGCCGGACCGCGGCTCCTCGGCCACCGCCCCCCACCCCCGAGCCGGGGAAGGGGCCTCGCGGAAGGAGCGAGCGACCCTCCTCCGCCCAGGGCGCCGCGCGTCGGCGCGGGGCGGGACGGACGGCCGCGGGCTCGCCGGGGCCTGCCCCCTGACCCCGAGGCGCGGCCCCCTCCCCTCTCGGCCCGGCCCGGCCCGGCCCCTCCCCGCGGGCGCTCACCTCCCGCACGTCCTGCAGACACTCGAGCACCGCCAGGTTGTTACTCCAGGTGTGCTTGGGGCACACCCGGGTCACGTCCTCCCGACACGTCTCCTCCTCCGCCAGCTTCCAGCCGCCGCCGGGCCCCGCGCCGCCCCGCCGGGCCGGCCCCGCTCCGGCCGCGAAGGGCTGCTGCTGCTGCTGAAGCTGCTGCTGGGACTGCTGCGGCGCCTGCGGCTGCTGCTGCTGCTGCTGCTGCTGCTGAGGCGGCTGCGGAGCGTGCGCCTGAGCCGGCTGCTCCACGCTCTCGGCGAAGGGCCTGAAGCCCAGCCCCTGAGACTGGTGTAGGCTTCCCATGTTTGGGAGGTTCGGGGGGTTCTGGGCCCCCTGGGCCCGGGCCACCACGAGCAGAAGCAGCGGCAGAGCCGCGGACAAGGGAAACATCCTCCGTACACGTCCACACGCCGCCATCTTGAGTCCGCGGCAGCCTCGACGTACCCGGCGCCGCCACGTATTTAAGTGAGGGGCGGAGCCACGGGGGCGTGCGCCGCCGTCGCCCCCGGCGAATGGGGAGCGGCCGAGGGGCGCTGGAGAAAGGTTACGGGGAGAAAGGGTGATGCCACATTCAAGATGGCGGCGCCTGAAGGGACCCTGGAGAAGATCCGTGTCTCCTCAAATTTTCTACCAATAAATTGAGGAAAGAAAGCAAAGAGGAGGAATGCTGAGTCAGGGTTGTGGTGGCTTCCCTTCGGGTGATTCCTTTGACTGGCGTCACTTGGTGCCTCTCCCAAGATGGCTGCCGCATCGCGCAGCTGCTTGAGTCAGCGTTCAAAAAAAAAACTTTACGTGTACACCGACTAACATGACAATCTAGGTCCTGTTGCCTTGGGGTGGCGGGGGGGGGGGGAGAGGGGGGGCGGAATCTCCCTACATTCCCTAGCAAACTCCCCTCCCCCCATCTCGCCGCTAGCCCCAGCCACCTGCTTCCACGTGTCTTCACTTCAGGAGGTTCCTGGGTCCCTCTAGACAGGAACTCGAGAGTCTCGTGGGCCTTAGGTGTCTTTTAATCGGCTTGTAAATTATGGTAGTGCTGCTAAAAGTTTTAACAACCGGCTTTTTTTTGGAGGGGGGGATGTATCACAGGGCTCATTTTTGTTCTACTTTATTATTATTCAAGTTTATTCTGCTTTATTTACATTTTCTCCATCCCACTCTTAAGTCTAGACAATGAACAGAAACAATAAATAAAATCCTGATTTATAGTGTTAGTTTTCTGTCGTGAAAAGGCCCACCCTGAAGATTTAATAATCAGCCCTTTCCCAGAACACCCCCAAATCTAGACTTCTAGACTCTTATAATAGCTAGCATTTGTAGCCCTCTTTAAGGTTACCAATTTTGAGGTTATCTCATTTCATCTTTGCACCAGTCCTGAGGGGCAGGTACTATTATTATCCCCATTTTACAGGTGAGGAAACTGAGGCATAGAACAGTGAAGTGACTTGACCAGGGTCAAATTGATAGTATTTGAGAAGGAATCTTAATTCAAGGTTTTCTGACTCGAGTCCAGTTTTGTCTACTGCCAATCTGAGAGAAAATGCCTTTTAGACATTTCAGTCAGTGCTGAAGCCCCTTCTGAAGGGCAAGGAGAGGACAGGAAACCAGGATCAGTCCATTGTCCAATGTATGGGAAGTTCTGGTAAAAGGTATAGTGAGTTAGGGATGGATTTCAGTTCTCTGTGCTCTCTCTCTTTTTTTTTGGGGGGGGGAGGGGTACAAAACCAGTACCTGAGCCAGAACCTAGAAGTGTGCCTGCAACAAAGAAGGAAAGACAGTAAAATGTATAAAGTGTTTGGAGCCCCTCTGGACAGTTTTTTCCCCTGTTTTTTTATGCCATCTAAGATTTTGTGTTCCAAGTTCTAAAGAGGTGAGATTCAAGGCTTGAACTTCATTTTTGCCCTGCACACATCAAGTGTTCAGTAAATATACAATAATATCGCAGGACGGGGCCTGTCCTTCGTTTGACCAGTGAGATAACTGAGGCATGGAGAGGCTAAGGGGCTTTGCCAGAGCCACACTATCAGACAGTCAATGACCACCCTGGCATAGAGAGAATCCAAGCCTCCTAAACTCCTAATCCTTTGGTTTCTTCCATTTCAGTTTTTCTGTCCCACCAATTGGCTAATTCACATTATTTTGAATTTATGCATTTTTATTCTCTTTCGCCTTTTTTTGTATCTCAGGTGCTTAGCACAGTACTTGGCACATAGTAGGCTCTTAATATGTTTACGGATTGATTGTTCATGAATTCATTGTTCAAGAGATATTTCTTCAGTGTGACCCTGGGCAAGTCACTTAACCCCATTGCCTAGCCAAAAAAAAAAAAAAGAGATGTTTCTTAAGGATTTACTATTGATGAGTCTGGGTGCTTTGTGATGGGGAAGGAACAGAGAGAAAACATAGTCCCTGCCCTGGAGAAACTTACAATCTAATCTGAGAAGAGTAAAATTGGTCAGCAGTTGTGCTTCTAGCTATAATTCTTCTCCCCAGGTTCTGACCTGAGGCTGCCAACCACTTTGAGGCGTCTCTCCCTTATCGTCCCGTGTTCTCCTTCATCCTTTTCTCCCCAATCTTTAGTAAGTGAGGTCATTAGCTGGACTGGAGTATGGTTAGAAGCTGGCCTTTTCGGACGTGCCTGAGATCATTGTTTGTCCTTCATTCCCGAAGAGGACCAAGGACATCAGAAAGGTGATTGACTTGCAAGTGAATTGGATTTAAGTGAGGCAGGGCTGTGCAAAGTCACCAGCCTCTCTCTCTCCTCCAGAGTCATCTGAGTCCAGTGGTGAGATATAGATCAGGACGACTGGAGATGGCTCGGGATGCAGGGGGGATCTTGGTTTTAGAACTTTCAGACTGTAAGAGGCTTTAGATATCAACCAGTCTGACTCACTTTACGGTAGTGGAAACTGAGACTCAGAAAGGGAAAACCCTTTTCCAAGGCAACGTGTCAAAAACAGATTCTGTTCTTTGCTCCATACCACATTCTCTCCGCAATCATTGTGAGCCTCACAGTCCTAGAAGAGGGTGGCAGTGACATTCTTTTGTTTTGGACTCTGCCTGGTAGGTTGATAAGGAGCTAAATCAAACAGCCTCTCAACAAGTTGGTTGCCTGCTCCAATCTGGTTTTTTCCCTGTCTTCTTTGTTGGTGCTGCCAAGATAGGAGAGTTCACAGAGCTTCTTATCCTTCTTATCTGCAGTGAAGATCATTGTCTTGGGTGTAGTATTTCCTTACTGCAGGCTGATAATCGACCTCCAGGATAAGTGACCCAGGGTGTTATGCTGAATCTGTCCACAATCTCTCCACATCTGCTTGTTCATGCACACCCAGGGCAGTCATCAGAAATACCAGTCCCTGGGTGATAGTCTCAAGGACTTTTCATAATCTTCACAGCCTGGTGAGCCGGACACATCAATGACATTTATTTCTGACCATTGGACTCTCGGGTTTTCATCTCACTAACCTCAGTCAAACCTGCGCCCTCTCTGCTGGCAGTGACCCAGCAGAACTGCAGAACTCTGTAAACAGAGATGGTAGATAACCACACTAATAGGATTTAGAGCGAGAAGGGAACATTAGAAATCACTGAGACCTAGACAGAGGCTCAGAGCTGTATCTGGGAGGGACTTCAGAGGCCATCCAGTGCAACCCCTCATTTTACATAAGACCCTATGAGGTTGTGACTTACCCAGGATGACACGGCTAAGCATTAGAGGAATCATTTGAAACTGGGTCCTCAGACTTCAGAACCAGTCCTCTTTTCAACCCCCAAATTTACAGTGGAGGAAAATGAGGCCAAAAAGTTGTGGCTTGCCCTAGATGATGGAGATAATAAGCAGCAGAGTTGAGATTTGAACCCAAGACCTCTGACCCTGAATCCAGTGGTATTGATTCAGAGCTCCACATCTGGGAATAAAGTATGTAGGACCCGGGTTTGGGAACATTCAAGATGTGCTGGAAAGAAGTAAAACTTCCTGAGTACCGAGTATGTCGGTAGTCGGCCCCTGCTCTGCACTGGTTCTTCTTGCTTATTTATCACATTGTGGTTCTTTCCAAAGGCTGGCTTTGGAATTACCCAATAACAGCACTGCTGACATTACTAAGAATACCTGGGGAACATTTGTGAGTTGAGTTTCCCCATGCCTCCAGAAACCCTCTGTGTTTTAGCCTATGTTGTTCAACTTCATCCTACAATGCCAAGTCCTTTTTGTGTCTCAGCAAAACTCAGTGTTTTGAACATGATCACAGCTCTCTTTTCTGATGGAGGGTCTTGCCGGACCTCAGAGTCTTCATTAGGAAAGGAGATGAAGATGTAAGAAATTGGGCTGAATCAGCACTGAACCTGGCGTATTCCCTGAAAGGCATTTTTGTTTGTTTGTTTTCAATTACTTGCCTCAGACCGTTTTCTGGACAAAATAAATATTTGTTGAATAAATGAATGAATTAATGGCATTTCCTACTTTCCCCAGAAGGAAAGAGGTGGAAAAAAAATCCATTTAATTCAGGAGCCCAGTTAATGAAGGCTGTTGTGGAGACTTTATGTTCTTACTGATATTATGGATCCCAGTCAGACAGTCAGTCAGTTAACAACCATTTATTAAGGGACTGCAATGTGCCAGGCCCTGTGCTAAGCCCTGGAAAAACTATTCCATATTTTCAAGGAACCTTCTGTCTAATAGGGGAGAAAACATGCCAGTGACCATGTGCAAACAAAAGATAGGGGATAAATTAGAAGTAATCTGAGAGGGAAAAATTAGAAGTAATCTGAGAGGGAAGTCACTGAACTTTTTTTTTAGCTTTTACAAACGAAAATTTGCTTCAAAAGATATAATCACAAACATACAAACTTATTCCCCCAACATATGGGAGGCATCATTCTCTCCCCACCCCAATCTTAGTCTTGGGGCATGGAATGGAGATCAGGTTCAGAGGGTAGTGCAGTTCCCACGGAGCACAGTCCCAATTCATTCCCACCACATCCAAGAGTCTGGCCATGGTGACCTTGAGCCAGAATTGCAGGAGGCATGCAGAGAAGCCTAGAGAAGCCATTGGAGCCTGGGAAGTCATTAAAACTAAGGGGGATTGGGAAAGGCTTTTTGCAAAAGGTGGCATTTTAGGTGAGGCATGAAAGAAACCCAGAGGCAGAGACAGAGAGGGAGAGAACCCCAGGCACGGGGGACCAGCCAGTGAAAATCCTAGGAGTTAGAAATTAAACTCTTGTTAATTGAAGCGTTTTCTAGGGAATTTGGATGCTTATTACAATGTTCATTCAAGTGGAGTAAATCTGGTGTTATATATATATATATACACACACACACTATATATATATAATATGTATATATATATATATACACACACACTATATATATATAATAAGTATATATGTGCGTGTATCTATATGTAATTATATATGTGCGTATACTTATATATTTGGAAGGGGGGAGCAAACTCATTT